CCAAACTGTATTTGAACTTGAATGAAAAGTACTTTTGGTTCATAAAGATCGCATATTTTGTCGTGGGACGTTCTTTCCAACGGAGCATTGGGGCGGAACCTCAACCAAACTGAAAAACCGTCATTGATCAATCCAAAAGTTGAGGAAGGATAGGAAAAAGCGGTAAAAGAGTTGGCAAGATTGGCTGTTTCACATCTGGGTCACTGCGCTCGTGTCGTCTATGCCGAGGGCCGAAGCCGAACCGCTACTAATAACCCTCGAGCGCGCTAGTATGATTGCTCGCGGGACTCATTGATCAGACACCAAAATCGTCGCGTGTGCCGAAAAAGCTGCTCGTGCTCGTGCTACCGCTCTGATCGGTGGTTGGGGAGAACATGTCGCGAGGGTATAAAGGGTAGTCCCGGCCATCAGCTCAGTACTGGCCGATCCTCACCAACAGTTTAAACTTACAACACGTTATAAGAATGCGCTTCACTCTTGCCGCCCTTGCCTGCCTCGCTGCCGGGGCCATTGCGGCTACCGTCCCTGCCGCTGGTGGTAAGCTCACTTAATTAATTGGAGTGCATACGATCCCTTACCATGTATATTCTGCAGACAACAACATCGAGCGGGTTGGCTGCCCCGGCCAGGGTAGCTGCGAGTACCGCTGCTACCTGGACTGCAAAAACGACAACGACAAGGGTTGCTACAATAGCTGCAAGCGCTCGTGCGCCTGCAACTGGTAACACTTCAATACAATCAGTTGCCTTCATACTCCATTACCCACAACACGTGTGCAACATGAATACAAAAGAGTGAGACTTGTGTTGAAAACCCCATATATTTCTATTCTTGGCAACCACGGCCATTATTTCTAGAAAACATGGACATCTACTGGCTTCCGCCCAGCACCTTGTTGAGGACGGCCGACAGACGAAGACCGGCGCGAGCAATCTGCTGGTTGACCACGGGCTCGACGGTCTCCTCGTACGACCCCGACAGATCTCCCGTGGTGAACGCGTCGCCAAAGACGGCCGAGCACGTCAGCGCCTCCGACTCCTGCGACCACGCGATCGCGCACTGGGTGAGCGCGGCAGCGTCGGTGGCGCCAGCCGAGGCCACGCACGCGGTGGACGCATCGTCATCGGACGACAGCGACTGCAGGTTCTGCACCCACGCGTCGATGCCGCCGGCATTGTCAGCGGCGGCCTGCACCAGCTGCGTGTCCCAGACGCTGTGCGCGTTGGTCTTCTTGCTGCCCCACTTGACGTTGACCTGGTTCCCACCGCGCTTGAATCCAGTCGCGTGCAGGGGCTGGGCAACGTCACCGACAAAGTGGATCACCAGCGCCAAGTTCTGCGCGGCCGCGGCCGAGTTGGGGTTGGCTGACGCCAGCGCCGCCGCAAAGGTGCCGATCGACGACGTCACGCACCCGGCCGCGCCGTTGCACGAGTCGGGGATCTGGGCCGACGAGCACTGGCCGCTCTGCGGGTTGTCGTCGTAGTTGATAAAGTGCGAGCTCGAGGAGGCGCCGCCCGCGTCGCGGTTCTGGTCCGGCCAGACCGCCGCCGCCTCGAGGCCCGTGAACACGTTGTTGGCGCGGCCGGCCGCGATGATCTTGGTGAGCTTGGCCTTGGCAGCCGGGGTCAAGTTGGCGGCACCGAGCTCGGCCACGGTCTGGTGTCCGAGCTGTTCTTTTTTGTTTGTCAGAATCTCTGATCCGATTCAAGACTCACCTTCAAATGAAAGAAATATGTAGCATACAACACCCCACGCATTCGCTTGCGCAGCAAGGAGAGCAAGGGTAGAGACAGCAAGGAGGACAGAAAACTTGGCCATTTTGTGTATTCGCGAGGGTAACCAAAACCCCCCAAAAAAAGCGGGGCGGGGGCGACTTTATAGTGCGCCTTTCCCCACGCTGTTGAAGCAAGGTCCAAGGAAAAACGTTCTGCGCAACCCCAGGTCCCTCCATGAATTCCAAAAGCCGGCTGACCCCTTCGGGTGGGGTACTCGAATTGCTGCGTAAAAACCGTCCCTCGTGTCTATGGATAAGTGAAACAACGCCATAACAGCAGGGTGGAATCGGGAAAGGTCTTGTATTTTTTTCTTAGTCGCAAGGAGAAGCCGAGGAGTCTCCAATGGCAGCCCTCGTCCGCACGGACCCGTCCTCGGTCACTACCCAGTGAACGCAGAGATCATGCGGTTCCAAGGGTACGCTGGCGACGCACTGACACGAACGTGCAAACGCAACGCGGGGCACCGTCGCCGGAACGTGCGCGGCCAACCACGTATCGTAAAACCCCTTGCCGTACCCGCATCGCGCACCCGTGGTGGTATCGAATGCAACGCCAGGCATCACCACCAAATCCAGCGGCTCAGCGACGCCCGTGAGAGTGCTCGACGCGACCGCGCGCGTTGTGAGCGGGTCGGTGGGGGTTGGGATCGACCACGCATCCAGAGGCATCGTTGCGAGGTCCTCTTCAGACGCGAGCTGGACCATGGCCATGACTTTGGCCGGGTTTGGCGGCGGCGGCGGCGGCGACCCGGGGAACGCGGCGGCCAGATCGGCGGCGCCGACAATGCACGGAATGTACACGCGCTTTCCCGCGGCAAATGCGGCGCGGACCAGCGGTGTGGTGTCCACCTCATGCGGCATGGACAAGAAGATGGACACGGCGCTGGCCGATTTCCATTCCTGCAGCGCCGTGACATTGCTCGCCATTTTCTGGGCTATTTTTCTTGATGATTTTTAATATTTAGCGGCACTTCGTGATTGTAGCGACGGACAAATCAGGGCGCGCGTGGACGGATCCAGAGGGTGCGCGGCCAGCACGGCCCGAATCTGTTTGCGCAGCGCGGTCTTGGCGGCGCGAATGGGCAGCGCTGTTGTCGCCATTGTACTGTGCAGTCTAGTCGAGAAGAGCAAGTGCAGGACGAGTGAAAGAGAAGAATTGGTTCCTGGGTCCGCCCGGCCCATTCATGCATTCCCATCGAAAAAAGCACAACTCATTAGCCGCGACGAGCACGCTTGGGCGACACCGAGCGCTCGCGCACGGGCGACGCGGGCTGCCCGCGCTTCTTGGACGGCGATCCACTGCCCGCCTTCTTTTTGTCGTACGCGTGCTCGTGGGCCTTTTGCGCGCGGCCGGACGGATCCGCCGAGCATCCCCAGTCGAGCCGCGGCACCCACCGCACCACCGACTCGACGCACGCGCGCTGCGGGAAATGCCGGTGGAACAGCTCGCGGTAATAGTACGCCTCCTTGGTGTCGGGGGTGTCGTGCGGGAACCGGACGCCGCGTGCCGCCCATTTCTCATCGGACACGGCGCGCGATGCGTGGTCCCGCAGAGAGTCGATCCACCCGTACCCGACGCCATCGCTGAATTGTTCCTATTGATTATATGTCGTTAGTGGATCGCGACCATATCCAAAGAAGAAAAACGGGATAGGTACCTTCATGCGCCAGAGCACGTCAGCCGGCAAGTACGGCTCGTCAACCACGTCAAACGCCTTGCGCAGCACCCACTTTTCCATGCGGCCGTCGCCGTTGACGCCGCACCGCTTGTGCCGCGGGTCCAGGGACATGGCCATGTCCAAAAACTCCTTGTCGAGGAACGGTACGCGCGCCTCGAGACCCCACGCCATGGTGGACTTGTTGGCGCGCAAGCAGTCGGCCGTGTGCAGGTTCTGGACACGCGACACGCACTCCTTGTGGAACTCGGCGTCCGACGGCGCTGAGTGAAAGTACAGGTACCCGCCAAACACTTCGTCGGCGCCCTCGCCCGAGAGCACCATCTTGACACCCATGGCCTTGATCTTGCGCGATAGAAGGTACCTTTTTGATTTTATGGAGTGAGCTTTTTTCACACTGTCTAAATGAGAGCATACATACATGGGAGTCGAGGCACGGATGGTCGTCACGTCATAGGTCTCGAGATGGTAAATCACGTCGGAAAGCGCATCCAGACCCTCCTGGATCGTGAACGTGAACGCACGGTGCTTGGTGCCAATGTGCTTGGCAACCTTTTCGGCTGCAGCAAGGTCAGGGGAGCCAGGGAGCCCAATCGAGAACGAGTGGAGTACGGGCCACTCGGCCGCCGACCGTGCAGACGTGTCGGTAAAGTCCTCTCCCGCAGGGGTCGTCGGGCTCGCGCTCTTTGCCGCCGCTTGACGCGTCACGCGGGCGGCAATGGCAGCAATCAGCGAGCTGTCCAGACCACCCGAAAGCAGCACGCCAAACGGCACCTCGGTCATGAGCCGCTTCTTGACGGCGCGAACAAGCCCGTTGCGGATGGCAGCAAAATCGGGCTCGGCGGTGCGATCGGCGTCGGCTGGGATCCCGGTCTTTTCGGGGTTCCACCATGCGGGCTCGTAGTAGCGCTCGGTCTTGCCAACCGACGAGAGGTACCGGTGACCAGGCGGGAACGCAACGATCCGGTCGCAGTCCTCGTTGAGCGACTTCATCTCGGATGCAAACCACACGGACCCGTCTTTACCCGACCAGCCCATGTACAGCGTGGTGATGCCGATCGGATCGCGCGCAACCAGGTACGTGTCCTTTTGCGCGTCGTAGAGCACAAACGAGAACATGCCGTCGAGGTGGCGAATAAAGTCCGGGCCTTGCTCTTGGTACAGGTACATGATCACCTCGCAGTCCGACTCGGTCTGGAACTCGACGGGCGTCTTGAGCAGCGTGCGCAGGTGGCGGTGGTTGTAGATCTCGCCATTGACGAGCAGAATGATGGACTCGTCGGCCGTGGCGAGGGGCTGTGCGCCGGATCCTATTTTTTTGTTTTGTGATCAGGTCATGGTTTTCGCGAAGATGAGTAAAATTTTTGGATCGTACCAAGGCCAACGATCGCCAGTCGCTCGTGACAGAAAAAGTTGCGGCCCACCGACTTGATGCCCGACCAATCCGGCCCGCGGTGACGAATTCTATTTTTTACGCACGATCAAGATCAACTGTGTCAGTTCTTGGTTCATGGCGAGGCGACGCCACGGACGACCCGATGACTACCTCGGGTCCTGTGGCGCAGTGGTATAGCGCGTCTGACTTCGAATCAGAAGGCCGGGGGTTCGAGCCCCTCCAGGATCGTCTCTTTTACGCTTGATGGCACTTTGGCTTTTGGCTTTTGGAACAAAAAAAAAGAAAAACGCGTCAATCTTGATCGCAGGAGCAGTGCGTACTTTTTGGAGAGCGTCAGAGCACGGTCGCGAAAGGCGTGCGAGTCGCCGCCGTAGCCAAAGACTGCAAAGATGCCGCACATGTTTGATTTGGGTTGAGCAATTGAATTGTAAGAGGACGACGCGTCCGGTTTTGTCAATGCACGAGCGAGCGGCAGAGGAAGAGAGCGGGCAGACGGCTCCTCTTTATCGTCCCAGCTCAAATTTGAGTTGCTCTCATCTCTTTTTCAGCACCACTGTTGCAGTCACATCGGTCACGAGTCGCTCACTTTGTATACCCGATAATAGTACACGAATAAATCTCGGTATTATTTTTTCCGTGGTAGCCAACACAGCACCAGGCCCTGAACGCGCGCGGCTTGATCTTGACTCTTGGTCTATAAAAAAGTGAAATGGCCACCGATTTCGCGGCCATTGTCGGCAACCACTGCCACTGCGACGACCTGGTTTTTTCCGACTGGCTTGCCGGCCGACCCGTCACGGATGCGGTTGCGCGCCGGATTGCCTTGCTGCAGCGACTCTTGGTCCATGCCCATGCGGCACCTCCGCCAATAGTGCCACCGGCACCAATGGCAGCCACGGCCTTGCTCGAGGCCACGGCGGATGCGCCAGAAGAGGAAGGCAATCCAGCGGCTCCACCGTCCCCACCTCCCGCGGACGTGAATCCACGTTCGCCGCATCTCGCGCCGTCAGCTGCAGCAGCAATTGCAGCGGGCATCGACAAGGACGACGCGTTTGGACCGGTACGCGCCAGTCCCGTTCCCATGAGCGCCGCCACTCTGGACGGTAGCAACAGCGAGGTCCTGCCGTCCTCGTCCGCGATCAATACCGCCGTACTGCCGCCGATGCGCCCGCTTGGAGCTCGGCGCGGGCTCTCGGGCAGCCTCTCGCGCGTGTCGCTCCAGATGCAGCGCGTGTTTTCGCGGTCCAAACTCCCCGGCTCCGAGTCGGGTACGCCGATTGGCGGGCCGTCGTCACGCAGCGCGTCGTTCTCGTCACTGCCTAACGCGGCCGACCAGGTACCCAGTGTCACGCCGCGCGGCTCGTTCTCGGGAAGCATGGCTACATCCACGGTCGGTCGCGGCGGCGGTGGCGGTGCTCTTTCGCGACGAGCGTCGTTGCTGGGCGATATCCGGCGCGCGGTCGGATCAGTTCTGGACTCGATGACGGGAGGTAACAATAGTAACCCGGCCTCTCCGGCGATGCGCGGCATGCACTCGTCCGCCGCCAATGCTGCCGCCGCCGCAGCAGCAGCTGCCACACTGCCACCAGGAGCCTTGATCCCTCCAGCCCTGGTGCGTGCAGCGCGCGCGCACGTGGTCGAACAGTACCGTCAGTTTGCGCTGGCCGAGTCGTTCCTGCACCGGCCCGCGCACTTTTTGACCCAAGCGGTGGTGCCGTACCCACGGCGTGCGCGCCGGCGCATGGTGCAGGCGTACTATGCGGTGGACGAGCGGGTGATGCGCGAGGTGCTGGGCAAGAAACTCAACTCCAAGACCCGCCGCGAGCTCGACGAGTGGGTAGCAGCCAATGGGCCGGCCGGACGCAAGTTGGTGGAGGTCGGGGTGCTGGCGGCTCGGCGGATGCTCGATAACGTCAAACGCGTGATGAAGCGCACCGAGGACGTGGTTGAGGGCGACGCGGTCATCTCGTTGCTCGGGGGCGAGTTTGCGATGCGGCGTGGGCTTGCACGGTACGCTCCTCCATTTTTTTTTTTTTTCCCGAGGCACAGAAAACTAACAATTAACTCAACAGGAGGTACGCCGCCATCCACTTTTACGCAATCCACCGGATCGATACCACCTCCAAGCGAAAGCTCGCGCACTACACGTTCGCCGACCTAGAGCACTGTGCGATGGCGTTCCTGGACCACTGGACACGGGCTGCGGGCGAGTCCACACCGCTGGTACTGACTGACACGCAGTCGGCGGCGATGCGAGCGCGCGCAACGAACCAGTACGCGTCAATTGACTCGGTCGCCAACGGTTCAGGCGGAATTACTGCTGCCGACACGCTGGCTACGCCGACCTCTGCCGCAACAACCACAACGGCAACAGCGGTCGCCGCCGATTTGGACGACGATCCGCTCGGCACGCTCGCGGCCGACTTGTGCGATGTGAAGGCGGTGATCATGTCGGGCGCGCGCGACCGCGACGCCGCCGAACGTGCGAGGTCAGTGTTGGCTGCCGCCGCCGCTGCCGCTGCCCAGGTTCCCGGCCTCCCCGCCGACCCATCCGCCACTGTCGACGCTGCGACCGCGATCCCGTCCGCCGCCGCGCTACGTGGTCTTCTACGGTCATTGGTTGCGCTCGGGTCGGGCCTGTCGACCACTTCGGCGCGCCGGGCAGTTCTGGCGGACGTGGTGGACAAGATTGTGGATCCGGCGGTCGCGGCGTCGTGGTCGGTTGCCGAAACGGATCGCGTGCTGGCGGCCATTGCCGCGTCGGTCGCCGAGGGCCTGGCAACTGGGTATTTGGCACCGGGCGTCAATGTCGGAGGGAGCGGCGGGAGCGGGGGTGCAGCTGCTGCTGACCGCGCGACGGTGGCGGCTGCTGCTTGGAGTCGGTGGACTTTGGGCATGCGTGTCGCCGTCATGCGGCTCTTGGCGCGGCGGATCGGCGAGGTGGACGCGGTTGAGGAGGAGGTGGAGGTGTGAATGTGAGGCATTGAATCTTGGTAGCACTGATCTGATGGCGTGGATCGAAGCGCAACCAAGAAAAAATCTGCCTTGATCAACCCACTGGAGAGAAGAGGGAAGGAAAGGGAACCATCCAAAATAATCATTCTTATTCTTATATTCATTAGCATTATTATTCTTGTATATATATCTTGATAGTTTTCATCATATGTGTTTAACTTGTATCTTAATCAGGGTGTAGGGGACTAGGTATCAGTAGTATAGGTCGGTCATTTCTTGAATTTTTGTTGTCTGCGACGCTTGGTTCTATCGCTCATGATGGTTATCTCGTAAGGTACTGTGGGAACCGGATCCGAGAATAATAAATACTTTGCTCCAAGTTGATAAAAAGAGTAATAATGCAACCACGCACGTCCGTCAACCAATTTCCATCGTCCAGCTTGGGTCTGAACCCAGAGCCCGATATAAACAGTCTTATCTTGGTTCGCCTTGTCCATAATGAACGTGGGCCCGATCTTGATCCGGGAATCACCCAGCGGCATCTTAATCATCTTAAGGGAGCCGAAGGGGACGTTTTTATGCTCGCCCGCGCGCAGCAAGCTCGGACGCAAGGACGGAGACTGTTCCGTCAACATATCCGTCATATCATTGAGAGTTCCCGCATCGGTCGTAAGCAAAAATGCGATAGTGAAGCCCGACGGCGATCTCGGAGGGTTCAGCTTACAGTCAACCTCCAGATTCAGACAAAGGGTTCTCGGGTCTGTATCCTTAGCGTTCTTGCCTGATTGACTATAAGTCACCCATTCCATTGGCATAGCCTGATCAAGGTGCGCTACAAGGGTGAAATCCTCGACCGCCGACGTAACTTCGTAGTTCGCTGGGTTATTGGCGAATAATTGGCCAAACGGCCATTCATGGAGTATAGTAGCTGAATTCAGAGCTATGTTAGGTGAGGGGCGTAGCAGGGCTTTATGCAACTGGATAAACATGTACAATTAATATTATCAGGCGCAATCAACTCCGTCCCAAGGGGAGGCGGGTCGTTAGCGTTTTGCGCTATAGGAGGAAGAGGGGCATGTAATAAGGAGGCAAGAAGGTCAGACATAGTGAATTGATAGATGGGTCGGGGGTGAGAGAGCACTCAAGTGCGAAGCTTGGGTCCTCAATGTTTTTATGGTCACCACACGTGAAAACACTCGGTTTTTTGCAGAAGCTCAAAGAATAAAAAAACCTTGCGACGCCATATATGGCACAAGGTAAACGTGAAAATAAATTAAGAATGATTACCACCAACCAAGGACCCACCACCATGCGCTCCCTACGAGCGCCAGGGCCGACAAGTGAAGCGCTGCCACCGCGCATCCGAGCCGGATCCACGACGATGGTGGGACCGACGACTTTCCCGCATACACGACCACGGATCCTGTCGTATAGGGTGTCTTTATTTCGCTTTTGTCAATACCCATGGAAGTGATGCCAAAAAGAGAGAAGCATACCAAACAACCGCCCGTCACCATCCCAATGGCGAGCGCAATCCCGCTGGCCCAATTGACGCTCGTGTTCCCCACCGCGTGCCGGATAGCGCCCATGAGCGGCGGCCCGACCACCACCGCGTGGCTCGTCAAGCTCGAGAACCCAATCATGGTTCCACACGCAATCCCGACCGCCACCGGGACTGCCAGCGCGGCGTTGGCCGGCAACACTTTACCGATAGCGGTACCCAGTGCCGCGGTAGCTCCAACGTGCTCGAGCTGCGCCGACAGCGACAGAAACCCGCCCAGCCACAGGAACGCGTCCCATGCCGAGACGTGGGCCAGGACCAAGGGTAAGGGCAACGCGCGTACCAGCATCAGCACCACCACTGCCAGCAGTGCCGGCGCGGCCGGGTCGAGCGAGGACCCGATCCACAGCGCCAGGCAGACTGCCAGGGTGGCCACCACGCTGGTCTCGGCAAATGTCCATGGCCGCGCACTGGATTCCGTCATCAGGTCCGAGAGCGCCGACACTGATGACGACGCCGACAGAGCAGAGGATGCCGACAAGAGCGGCGGGTCGCCGCCCAGTCCGACTTCTTCGTCGACATACTCGTCGTTCGCAGGATCTTCACCACCGCAGTTATCGACGCGCGCCCGCAACTGGCACCCAGTCCACCACCCAAGCAACGGCGGCAGAGCGATCCCGACCGATACCGCCGGTGCCAGCGCTCCCAGCGTCCACTGCAAGTACCCGATGTTGACACCGAGCCTCATTCGGAGCATGCGTGCAATCAGTGG